ACGAATCGGATTGTATATATGTATACAATATCTTGTATAACGACTCGGATTGTATAAATGTATACAATATCTTGTATAACGAATCGGATTGTATATATGTATACCATATCTTGTATAACGAATCGGATTGTATATACCGGTATGTATACCATATCTTGTATAACGAATCGGATTGTATATATGTATACGATATCTTGTATAACGAATCGGATTATATATATGTATACAATAACTTGTATAACAAATCGGATTGTATATATGTATACCATATCTTGTATTACGAATCTGATTGTATATATGTATACCATATCTTGTATTACGAATCAGATTGTATATATGTATACCATATCTTGTATAATGAATCAGATTGTATATATGTATACCATATCTTGTATAACGAATCGGATTGTATATATGTATACAATATCTTGTATTACGAATCGGATTGTATATATGTATACAATATCTTGTATTACGAATCGGATTGTATATAAACAAAACCACTACGTTAACTGATGATTCTTATATAATTGATTTGAAACATCGTTATTTATAATAATGAAAAATTACCACATTTTTTTCATTTATAATGAGTTTATATCCTTAAAAACGCGATATAAATAAATGCACAAACGACACCCATACTACCTCAGTTTTACATCGCATTGTGTGTTAAATTAGCCTCGTAGCGTCAATTTGCTTGTACAGCATTTTGACTTGTTCATTTGTATGTGGCAATATTCAAACAAAAAAGGTTACCGTAGAAGCCTACTTGTAAAATTGGTCATAAATCGCATGACAATGTTCATTGGTTTATTATGTACAATCATAGAACTAGTAATCTTAAAAAGAAGTGAAAATGGTTTCTAAATGGCAATCCTGTAAACCGTTGGGTACTATAAATATTTGGCTATACTTATTTCAAGTAGAAACACTTGGGGTAAAGCGCAACCACGCTTACACAACAAGCGCGAAAGGACATGAACACAATTTTTCGTATGATAAGAAAAACTGCTTGCCTCACCAAGATTATTTTAAATTATTTGATAGTATGGTTTTGCCTGTTTTAAGCTATGATGCTGAAATATGGGGGCATAGTAAATACCAGGTGATGGAGAGAGTACAGCTAAAATATTGTAAAGCATTTTTAGGAAGTAGTTTGGGAGAATGTGGCAGGTTCCAATTTTCTTGCATACATATAAGAAATGTTTCGAATACTTGTTTGAACTACTAAAAATGTCCCAAAATAGTCACTAGACAAGCATATGATTTGGCTATTTCACTTCATAATAACTTTTAATGCATTTTTAGACCTGTTTATGATCAGAGCATCTGATATATTTCAAAAGAAAAGCTGCGGACATATCGAAATATCACGTAGTATGGTGTGACGCCACTCACTGACCATTTCATAGAACGTAAACAAATTCTTCTTTTGAAAGTAGAAAAAGTATGTTTGAAATATGGTAAATCTGAATGTTTGCTCCATGTTTTCGTTTTAAGTCACGTATGCGGACATCGCTTTTCCTAATTCTCCCAACCTGTAATCATATCCAATGCAGTGATTTGATTACATGTGAGATGTGTGAACGCCGCTGATGGAATTTAAATTTAGTTACAATTGTCGTTTTGTCGTATTGATGGCTCCAAATTAAAAAAAAAAAACATTTTCTTCGTGGCAGGTAATGAACTGAAGATAATCTGCGTTCATGTATGCAAATAATATGGATTGGACCCGATAATAAGATTTGGGTGCCACTGATTCTGATATTAGTTATTTTGACAAATATCAAAATTCGTGATTCATGAGATCAAATTTAATACACTCTTTCCGTAATTTCCATACCACTACACTCATTTAATCTAATATGATATGATAAATCCCTCATTACATAGTCTCTTTTCATCGTGTTGTATACAATGCATAGTGTACATTTCAAATAAATTTGTAATGTGAGGTCTAGTGTTATATAGGGCCAAATACACAACAATCAATTTAATTGAATGCACTATTTGAATTAGATGTTCTATTTTTGAATTACATAAATCGTTCGTGAAAAAATAAGTTTGATTTCAATAAATTTAGTCAGTTTATTGAAAATAATTATAGCAATAACCTGTATCTTTTACTGTCAATAATTGTTTCGTCCCCACTAAATATGACATACAACAAAATCACAAGTTGCTAAGTGACTTATACTTATACGATTCACTTTTTGGCAGATAGCAACGAACCTCAGAAAAATATTTCTCATAAGGTATTTATTTATAAGTACTTGATAAATATTTTTAATTTTTGTTTTAGAAATAAGTACAATTCTTTCACATTAGCTTCAATGTGTCTTCTCTTATAGCAGTACTGGATGTACACCCAGTCGCACATAAATGATTTCAATGTGTCTTCTCTTATAGCAGTACTGGATGCAGTTGTAAGATTTCACGGTGAAATAAAATAAACAATGTTGCAATAAAGTCTGTATATAGATCACTCATTCGGGTCAAAGAAGTTCGTATTTGATAATTTTGATGAATGCCACAAGCAATTTTAGTGTCCATCAGAGAATTAGTCTACCAGTACCGAGTTTACGTCCTCCACTCTTGGTAGGGGTTTGTCGAAATTACTTTTTCCTGTCAGCCAATATGTCGTTTGAGTGCCTATCCCCTGGAAAGTGAAATAAATTGAACGTGAATCGCTAGAATGTTTGATATAGGAATATAATAGCAATATATCATGTGTTTTGACATAGGAATAGAAATATATCGTCAGTCTGACACGGAAACAGATATATATATCATGTGTTTGCCATGGTAATATAAATATATCGTGTGTTTGACATGGGAATAGAAATATATCATGTGTTTGACATGGGAATAGAAATATATCATGTGTTTGCCATGGGAATAGAAATATATCATGTGTTTGACATGGGAATAGAAATATATCATGTGTTTGACATGGGAATAGAAATATATCGTGTGTTTGACATGGGAATAGAAATATATCATGTGTTTGACATGGGAATAGAAATATATCATGTGTTTGACATGGGAATAGAAATATATCATGTGTTT